GCAAGATACACTTATGTTTTGATATTATTTGGAATAGAAATAACAGTGAGAAGTTATATGTCTGAGGTTTTAGTTTATTCTCTTAATAAAGGATTAACTATGTTTTCTATGACGGCTTTTGATTTTCCATTCCAGACAAGGAAAATTTGAAGTACACCGAGATATTTGAAACTGATTTTCATCTGAACCATGCTACAATTTTGCTGCTTCTCCCTTATCCCTCTGCTGTCACCATTCTGTGATAGTGACAGTCCTTTTCCTTCTTTTTCAGATTCCAGTGTCAGATTTAGTGGGGAAGACCGTACTGCTGTACTTCTCAGCTCACTGGTGCCCACCATGTCGTGCATTTCTACCAAAGCTTATTGAATCATATCACAAGATCAAGGCCAAGCAGGACACTGCTGTTGAAGTCGTCTTCATCTCTAGTGACAGGGACGTAGCCTCGTTCAATGACTTCTTTGCTGGAATGCCATGGCTGGCTCTTCCCTTTGGTGACTCCAGGAAGTCATTCCTGAGCCGCAAATTCAAGGCGCAAGGCATCCCCATGTTGGTGGCAATCGGACCCGGCGGCCAGATCCTGACGAAAGATGCTAGAAATCTTGTTGCGCTTTATGGTGCTGAAGCTTATCCTTTCACTGAGGAAAGGGTGAAAGAACTTGAGGCAGCATCTGAGGAGATGGCAAAGGGGTGGCCTGAGAAGGTGGCACACAAGTCCCATGAGCATGAACTTGTGTTGACTCGCCGGGGGATTTATATTTGTGATGGTTGCGACGAGGAGGGTCACGCATGGTCATACTATTGTAGCGATTGTGACTTTGATCTGCATCCGAAATGTGCTTTGGAAGAAGAGAAACCTAAAGAAAGTACCAATCAAGAAGAAGAGAATAAACAAGATGGGCGGGTTTGTGATGGGGAAGTCTGCTCAAGAGCTTGAAGAGTTAAGATTCTTGTTTGTTGCATTGAAGTTGTCTGATGGCTTCTTATTATGTGTATTTCAAAATATGTCTGATAGTGTGCTTGCTGTCCAAACAAAATAAACATGTAAAATACAGTATGTTGGATTTTAATATTATAATCCCTTTTATATCTATTTTATTATGCATAATCGGAAAGTAATATATTGCATAATCAAAACTCATTACTCTGATCAAATCTTTATAAAATCATCAATACAAAAAACTGTGATTTGAAACTGTGGAAGTGAAAATCAAAATTCTATCAAAATGTAAGAATTAACAATAGTATTAACCTGATTTTGTAAAATGATTTATAAACAGGAGCATATAAAATTGAGAAAGTGATTTATAAATAAGAACGAGAAGGTAGTATGCTTTTCCGAATTTAAATGGCGCATTATAGTTGGTTGCAAGAGAAAATTTATTTGATTATTTCATCAAATTGAGACAAAGCTTTCCTAAATTTTACCTTAAGGAAAAAAAACGTTAAAACTGGATCGAAATTTTAGTTTTTAAAGTTAGTTGAACTGAATCAGTTTAAATTATGAAATTAATTAATTTTATACCATAATCAAAATTATATAACTTAACGTTTAAAGAACATAATTATAATCAATGTTAGATCTAGTAGAAAAGATTAGTTTCTCATAATGTGACGAATCAAAATTTAAATCTGTCAAAACAAATGGGTTATATGTGATCCATTTGAGTAAATTCTAAAAAGCCCAACAAAAAGGGTCGGCCCATCACTGCAAGAGAAAAAATGGAAACACAAGCAGCCAACACTATAAACAACTGAACAAACGGACATAACGAAAATATAAAGGGGGAAAAAACTTGCAGCTCCATGTTTTGTAACCAGAGTCCCAAAACTTAAATATGCTCAAATTAAACATGCAAGACTGAGGAATTGATGAACACGTCAATCTAACAAGAGTCCTTCATACTAGCTCCCTGAAGAGGACGTTCCTATAATGATGATAAAATAGAGGAGCAATTGCTTTGTGTTTTTTTTTTCTTTTATTTTTTTTCCCATTCCCAAACTATAATCGGAGACTGAGATTTGTGAGCTACAATATCATCCAAGTTGCAGAAACTAGTTAAGATGCTCATCACTTCAAACTCATCGTATTTAAATCATCTAAATTTTATTTAGATGGTCTAGATTTAATTTTAATTTTAATTTTAATTTTTTTAAGATAATTATTTTAAGAGGTATAAAATATAAAATAAAGATAATCTCTTAACTATTATTTTTTTCAAAAAATAATTTTTCTATTTAAAAATAATTAATTTAAAATTTAAAATTTGAGCCATTCAAATGATATCTTAATGGTCAAGATCTAATGAGTTTAAGATGTTTATCAATATGATGAACACTGAAACTGGTTTCCGAGTTGCAGAAGTGACACTCATTTTTTTGATATTTATTTTTGTAATAATTTCATAATTCATCAAACTATTGTTATTCAAAACATGCACGAATATAATTGGTCTAATAATTCAATTATTTTTTTTTAATTGTCACATACAAAGCGTGTAGATTTTTTATTTGTCAATAAGGTGTGTACATATTGAATTTTTTTGACCAGGGTTGTACATATTGAATGATAGATCCACATATCATATTCAAAATATCTTGCCCATAAAATTATTATTTTTAATTAACTGTAAGATACTTACAACTTATCTTTCCATTAGATCAAAACTCATCAAACTAGCATCTGACTTTTGCCGTGTTTTCCCTTTTATTCCCAGCACGAATATTTAAGAATCAGTTAACATCATTTTATAGAACACTAAAAAGATTTAAAAAAAACAGTAAATTCCGAGTCAACTCGCGAGTTTTATAGTACTAATTGCAACTTAAATTAAAGAAAAATTTATAAAAATATTTGGAACTTAAATTAGAGAAGGATTTAGGAAGGATAGTAGGATACTATCGAGTTTAGGTGTTAAACCACGTTGCCTGGTATCTGCCATCTGGGTTGCCAGCCACGGGATTACAAATGGTCGACGTCTTTTTAATTATATACGAATAATTATATGACATAAGATTAATTATTATAGTTGAATGAACGTCAAGCCGGTAACTTGAGCATTATTATATAATCAAATTGGAATTAATTTCTTATATCAACGTCACGTATAATCTTCCAAGTTTCACCCACGATGAGTGGTATTTGAACATGAAATAAGTAGACCCGGAAAAAAAAAAAAGTACAAAGTTTATATACTAAAAAAATACAACCAAAAGAAAAAAAATTTCTCCCTCCGATGCATAGCTAGTTAACTAGTTTGGATAAATTAAAAAAAGATTAAATAGATTAATTAATTATGATAAATATGACTTGATCCCTCTAAAACGTACCTTTTTTTATATAAAAAAAATTTAAGTGAGTTAGGTCCTGAAAATTTACTAGAGTCAAGACATGTCTTCAGAATCAAAAACGATTATTGAGGTACTTATAGATTGCTTATTAATAAAACCTTTACATTAACAACAAGATTCAAATTTAAAACTTTATAGGTTACAAGTCGATTTGTTATCAAATATACTAACTCTTGACCTCTCTAAAAGATGCTTTTGTCACATGCTCACGTTATATTATATAGTACCAATTCATAAACTTGGTAAATTAGTTGAAAAAAATAATAAATATAAGAAACAAAATAAATTAAAGTATTAAGACCAAATTTAACTCCCAACAAGTTTACCGCCTCGCTTCCCATTATAAGTCGTTTGTAAATTATTCTTGCATGTCAAAGAATTAATTAAATTGATACAATTTTTTTTAAAAAAATTTGTCCTCATTATCTCCTTTTTAATATTTACAAATTATTCTCATCTTTTTCTTTTCTTTCTCTCTTTTCAATAAAAATTAAAAAATAGCTCATAATAACCCTATAAATAATTTATATTTAAAACTAAATTTTTTTCTGCAAATGACTTGCAATAAAAATTTTTTGGACCTTTTGGCTAAAACCAAAGGTATCATTTTTTCCCCCCCTTCCTTCTCAGTTTAACATCCGGCTCACTTGATAATATTGAAAGAGTGGAATATTAAAAGTGGGAGGAAGTGACGTATGTTTACGCATGTCACACTCAATACGTCATCTTGTCCGTCATCGTTACAAAAACGACGCGCGTTGCATGGATCATGGACACATGAACGACATTTCTAGTTCGCCCGAATCAGGCTGCTTTGTCCAACGTGCAAGATTTGTTTTCGCTTTCTTTTGGTGCCTTGTTGGTCGGCCTCGATTTCTTGAAGAGCTACTTGGCCTCCAAGGAAATGACACGGCGGCTCGAACCTTCCAGAGATCGTACGGAGAGGAAACCAAACTTGAAAGAGCATGCGCCCCGCATTAGTAGATCTTATCCTCTTTCCTACGCTTTTCTTCCTTTCACACCAGCAGATCACATTAGATTTAAGTTTTTATAAAAATTTAAAATTAATGATAAATTTAAATTGTTAAAATTTGATCTTAACAGTTTATAACTGTTGTGAAAAAAATTGAAAAAAAATCCACTTTATAATAATGGTCTATAGTTGTGAATTATTTATCATTTTTTGTCTAAAATTATAGTACTTTCCGGTTCTAAATATAAGACCTGCACTATAAAATGAATCTTATATTTAGAATCAGAAGGATAATATTTATTTTTATAAAAATTTAGATCAAGATCATTACAATTTTGATTTAATGGTTATAAAGGGAAGAAGAGAGTAAAACGGGGAGGAAGAGGATAGGCAGAGAATCCTAATATTTTCTTAGTCCTTAATTCTTACATAAAGACTTAGGGGGTGTTTGGATAGAAACCAAAACATGGTTTCAAAAATACTTTTACAGTTTACAAAGTAAATATGTAGAGGAGTTTGTTTCGTTTTACGAAAAAATACTTCTGAAATTATTAGTTTGGAGGTTGCCAAACACCACCTTAAGATTTTTTTTTACATGGGATGCAGAATACCTAAAAAGGGCTTCTTTGGAATTCTGTCTTTCTATAAATAGCCGTTGGGGTGCGAATCTTTTCCTTGCTCATCGCTACTTCGAGTTTTGTACCGTGTGAGCTTCGAGGTTAAGCAGTCACGAAAATGGCTGGTGGTGAAGATGTTGTTGTTGCTCACGATATTCAGTCTGTTCTCTCTTCTTCGGAGAGGGACTATCTCGTTCGGAACAACGGCGATCAGGTACTTCTTTTGCTTGGTTCTTTCGTTTAGCGTTTTATTCTCTCGGAAAATTATCCTAGTCTGTGATTTGAAAAGCTCGAACTCTGTATTTATTTGCGGATCCATCTTAGGTCCATAAAGACTCTTAACGCATCTGGGGTTTTGATCAACTGCCCTTGCGCTGAATTTTTACTGAATTTTTAGTTCTCTGGGGGAATAGGGTGTCTATACTGGCTGCCTATCTTATTTGATTCCTGTCTATATTTATTTTCTATCATGTTTGATTGATGAATTTCTTTTAATTATGAAACTTGTGAACTATGATACGCCAGCTTCCCCTTGGGAATTTTCTGATGGTCACATCTGATGGACCCTACCATTAGATGTGACTATAGTTATTTTTGGCTCATAGTTATTTTTTGATATGATTATAATCGCATCAATGAAAGATTGAAGAGGTTTTTCTTCGTGCGGGAAACATTCTCAGGTTAAAATCGAGAGCTTAAAGGGGAAGAGGGTTGGTTTATATTTTTCAGCATCTTGGTGCGGTCCCTGCAGACAATTCACCCCTACTTTGGTGGAGGTGTACAACGAAGTCTCTGCTAAAGGTGATTTTGAGATAATCTTTGTGTCAGCTGATGAAGATGAAGATGCCTTCAAAGGTTACTTTTCCAAGATGCCGTGGCTTGCCATCCCATTCTCCGATTCTGATACAAGGAGTCACCTTGATGAATTGTTCGAGGTGCAGGGGATTCCCCACCTTGTAATCCTTGATGAGAACGGGAAAGTTGTCACTGAAGATGGAACAGAGTTTGTACTTGAGTATAGAGCTGAAGGATACCCTTTCACAGCAGAGAGGATCAAAGAGTTGAAAGATCAAGAAGAGGAGGCCAAGAGGAACCAATCTTTGAGATCTCTTTTGGTCTCCAAGTCACGTGACTTTGTTATTTCTTCTGATGGAAAGCAAGTAAGTTTCTGTAACTTCACCCTCTGCGAGATAGACCTGAAGAAGTATTTCCTTTGCTTCAAAAGGCTGTAAACCTTTTGGGGCTGAGTTAGGAAAATCTTATTAACATTTTAATGAATCTATAATTATGGGGACACATGTAGGACAGAGTCTGAATTTCATCTTCCATTTACTTGCAGGTACCTGTGTCTCAACTTGAGGGGAAGACCGTAGGTCTGTATTTCTCATCTTTTTCATTTGTACCATCCGCTGAATTTACTCAACAGCTTGTCGAGGTTTATGAGAAGCTGAAAGCGAAGGGTGAGGACTTTGAGATTGTGTGGATATCCGTTGGGGATGATGAAGAGTCTTTCAAGGAGGGACTGAAAAATCTGCCCTTCTTGTCATTGCCCCTCAATGACAAGAGCTGCAAGAAGCTTGCTCGCTACTTTGAGCTATCAACCTTGCGCACTTTGGTTATTATTGGGCCAGATGGAAAAACCCTTCATTCCAATGTGGCTGAGGCCATTGAGGAGCACGGCGTTGCTGCATATCCTTTTACTCCCGAAAAGTTTGCAGAGCTTGCTGAGATAGAGAAGGCCAAAGAGGCAGCACAGACCCTTGAATCAATTCTGGTTTCTGGAGATCTTGATTTTCTCTTGGGGAAAGATGGGGTCAAGGTACGATTAAAACAATTGAACCTTTTTCCTTAGATATTTTCAATAGCTTTGAAAAAGGTCTTCTTCATCCGGTTGTCTTGGATGTCAATAAACATTTTAGACGCATACATCATACATGGATGTTTTGATATTGCCAGGAGATCGAAATAACAGTGAGAATTTGTCTTTGATGTCCTTGAAGTTTTGTCTTTTCTAGTATAATATTAATATGCTCTGTATGACAGTTTTTGATTTGTCATTTCAAACATGAAATTCTTATATGATATGAAATTTGACACTTGAGTTGATATGAACCAGGAAAAATAACTATGTGAATTTGATATCTGTGAAGTTCATTTTATTCATTTGTATTGAAAGATTAATATGCTTTGAGTGACAGCTTTTAATTCGTCATTCTAAGCATGGAAACTCTGTACTGTTTTTGTTGACACTGGCGTATCATCTGAACCATTCTGCTGCTTCTCTTCTATCCTCTTTTGCCTCCATTCAGTGATAATGACAGTAATTCTCCTTTATTTCAGATTCCAGTGTCAGATTTAGTGGGTAAGACGGTCCTCCTGTACTTCTCAGCTCACTGGTGCCCACCATGCCGTGCATTTCTACCAAAGCTTATTGAAGCATATCACAAGATCAAGGCTAAAGACAATGCACTCGAAGTGGTGTTCATATCCAGTGATAGCGACCAAGCATCGTTTGATGACTTCTTTGCTGGAATGCCATGGCTGGCTCTTCCCTTTGGTGACTCCAGGAAGTCATCCCTGAGCCGCAGATTCAAAGTGCGAGGCATCCCCATGCTGGTGGCCATCGCACCCGGTGGCCGGACCCTCACAAGGGGAGCCAGAGAGCTTGTCGCGCTTTATGGTGCTGAAGCTTATCCTTTCACTGAAGAAAGGGTGACACAACTTGAGGCAGGTACCAACGAAGAAGAGGAGAATGAGAAAGAAGGGTGGGTTTGTGATGGAGAGGTTTGCTCTAAGGCCTGAGCAAAGTGAAGACTGTTTGTTGCATCATTTCTATCTCAGGCATCTTATTGTGTGTATTTCAAAATTTGTGTAATATTATGTTGGGCTTGAATATCATAAATAAATAAAAATGTAGTTACCAAAAAAATAGATGCAATCCTTTTATCTTTCTTATTATGCATTATGGATTGTGATTTCTTATCTTAAGAAGTGAGGGAAGCTCAAGTTAAACCAAGAGGTGTGTTTTTATTAAGTGTGATTAGCATTATGAAATATTTTGTAGTTTATTTAACATCTTGAAATATTTTATTGATGCTTTCAATACCTTAAAAAAAATACTGAAATAAATACTTTGTGGTGGTTTAATTGAACAGATTTTTTGAGGAGTTAATGACAAATTTAAAATTACTCATGAAATAATATTTTAACAGTACAATTGCTTTTGAAAAAAAATTAATACTTTAAATAAAAATTATGCTACGAAATATTTCAGAATATTAGATGTATCTAAAAAATATTTCGAGATTTTTCATGTATTATAAAATATTTTAGGATGCTGAATATATTAATAAACACTTTAAGCACTGGTACCTTAACCCAACTAAACATTCTAACTGCTGCAACACAAAGTGAACAAGTTGTGTTAGACGGCTCCAAAGTAACTCAAGTAATGTGAATCATATATACAATTTTATGGTTTTTCAGTACAATGGCAGAAATTTTCGTGAAGCTAAGAATTGTGTTTTAATGAAGAGAAAATTTGTTTCATTATTTGATAACTCAAAGCTTAAGTGAATTTTAGTTAAGGACATTTTAAGAACTTAAGTGAAACATGAGTCATTTCATGAAAAAAAATTCAGTTAAAATAATTATGTTTAATTTAATCAATTTCGTATGATCAAAATTATGTCACGTTTTACTAACAAGTTGTTGATTAAGGTGACAAGTGGTATCACTCACTCTTATAAAAAAGAGAATACAAATTTAAATTTTAAGAAGTACGTGAGATAGACGAAATCTTTTACTTTCTAAGACTTGAGAGGAAAAATCCTTGATCAAATAAAAAAGAATTACATTATTTCTCTACCATGTGACTTTTATGTTCCATTTTATTCATTATTCATGTTTTATCTTTTACTTTTAGCCAGAACTCATGTTTATTTAATTATTTAAGAACTATTCAATTTCAATTTTCCCCCCTTAATGATAGATTTTGATTTGTACGTGTTTATGTGTGATTATTTCAAATAATTTATTTTATAGCTACTATTCTTATATATGTGAAAAATTCTTGTAGATAAGCATCAAACCAAAAATTCTCATACCGCCTTTCACCAAAAAAAAAAAAATTTCTCATACCGCCGTAACGCTTACCTTTCCCTTTACGCTGTGTTTGGCTCGATGGAGGGAAGGGAAGGGGAAAGATTTTAATCAAGGGGAGGGGAGGGGAGGAAAGGGGAGGGTAGCTATAAAAGGGAGGGGAGGGGAGGGTAGCTACAAAGGGGAGGGGAGCTACAAAGGGGAGGGGAGGGAGGGGGAAGGAAGGGGAGGGATTTTAATGATCTCCTGTTTAGATTGATTGAAGGGGAGGGGAGGGAGCAATTTTAATAATATCTTATTTTATTCTAATAAAAAATTGACTATTTTAGCCTCATAAAATTTAAATGAATTTTCTCACTTTTTTATTTTGTTAAGATATAACTATATATATAATACAATTCACCAATTTTGATTTACAAGACATAGTCACACATTTATAGAATATCAAGATAAAAAGTCACGAGTGATAGATTTCAATCAGAAAAAAGACCTTGAAGGTGAAAGAAAATACCAACAACCTCTTGGAATTAGAAGAAGAGAAAAAAAAAGTTTACAAATGCTCACTAATTTTGGAGACAATTATCTTAATAACCTCTTGTTAGATGCTCAAAAAAACTCTCTTATGTAGAAATATTTACGACTGATTAGAGGTTAACAAATTAAAAGGGTATATAAGGAATTGAAATATTATCTCTCATCTCCCCTCCAAAAAACCTCACTTTTGGAGGGGAGGCTAGAAGGGAAGGGGAGGGGAGAAGAATCCCTCCCCTCTTTAAAAAACATCTTAACCAAACGAGGGAAGGGGAGGGGTTCCCCTCCCCTCCTAAAAAATTACACTAGCCAAACGAGAGGAGGGGAGCAACTCCCTCCCCTCCCCTCCAAAAATCCCGTACCAAACATAGCGTTAATTGGGCAATCACAATCGCAAAAGCAGAGGGGAAAAGGGAAAAAGGAGGGAAAAAACAGAAAAGAGATAAGAAGCGTCACGCCTCTCCTTCCGTTCTGCTTTCCCCTAAATGCATCTTCGTCTTCCTCTGGTTTGTTGTGCGCCGTAGTGTATGTGTGTCCAAGCTTCACTAGTTCACCTCCTCTGCTGAACTCCTCTTTTTCATTTCTGCTTCTGGACGTCTGATCATTGATCAAGAAAGGAGTTTGAGTGGATGAGTGACTACAAGGTTGAAAGAAATGTATTTTGTTTAACGGGTATTATATTTTAAATTTTTCTGGGCTGTTTCTCTATAATTAGTTGAAGTTATAGTTGATTTTCCCCCCTTCTTTTTCTAGGCTGAATCATGTTAATAAATTAGGGGTTTTCGCTTCATTAATGAAATTTTGAATGAGGAAGTCTTGTGAAGCTTTATTGAGATATGGAAGTGGCTTGGATATCGATTTGAGAATCTAAGAAGGTTGTTGTTTCTATTGACTTCATTTTTTCTTGCGAACCGCCTTCTTGTCCGAAGCTACATTTAATTCGGTGCTGTAAGGTCCGTGGCTACGCGGTGACAAAAATGGCCGGTGCTGATAATGTCTCCCATGATATTCAATCGATCCTCTCTTCTTCGGAGAGGGACTATCTCGTTCGGAGCAATGGCGATCAGGTGCTTATTTGGTTCTTGCATTTTATTGATCAATTGAGCCGCTATCGGATTTTTCAATTTCTCCGAAAATTATTCAAGTCTGGGATATGGGGACAAAACACTGTATTTCTTCACGAACCCATCATAGGTCCATGGATTCAAGAATATCTGAAGTTTTGATCGACGGCCTCCGCACTAGATTTTTAGTCTTCTAAGTGAATAGGGTGTGCGATTTTCTATTTCCTTGTCGGTACTTGCTGCCCATCTGATTTTATCACTGTCTCTCTGTATTTTCTATCGTGTTTGATTCCCGAATTTCTTTTAATTACCAAGCATGTGAATTATGATACACCAGCTTCTTCTTCAGAATTTTTGCGGGTTAAAATAGGCTGGTAAATCAAAAAATGAAATGCAAAATGATCTTTGAGCGCGAATGCTGGCAAACTCTACAATTAGATACGATCTTTCATTGGAAATTTATAGATCATAGGTGATGTTTCAAATGATTAACTTGTATCTTGAGGAAGTCATTGTTTATGCTGTAAACATTTTCAGGTTAAAATTGAGAGCTTGAGTGGGAAGAAAGTTGGTTTATACTTTTCAGCATCTTGGTGCGGTCCCTGCCGACAATTCACTCCTACTTGGTAGAATTATACAATGAAGTCTATACTAAAGGTGACTTTGAGATGATCTTTGTGTCGGCTGATGAAGATGAAGACGCCTTTAAAGGTTATTTTTCCAAGATGCCCTGGCTTGCCATTCCATTTTGTGATTATGACATACGCGATTGCCTTGATGAATTGTTCAAGGTGAGGGGGATTCCCCACCTTGTAATACTTGAGGAGAGTGGGAGAGTTGCCACTGAAGATGGAGCTGAGGTTGTACGTGAGTATGGAGCTGAGGCATACCCTTTCACAATAGAAAGGATCAAAGAGCTAAAAGACCAGGAAGAAGCGAAGAGCAACCAGTCCTTGAGATCTCTTTTGGCCTTCAAGTCACGTGACTTCATTATATCTTCTGATGGAAAGGAAGTGAGTTCCTGTAACCTTACTCTCTGCTTGAGACGGAACTGGACATGTGTTTCCTCTCGTAAAATGTCAAATATGGCTGCTCCAATCCTCAAAAGGCTATGAGTTTGTTGTTGAGGCTAAGCCAGCCAATTCTTATTTTAAATTTTAATAAATTAATTCTTTAGATACATGTAGGATAGAGTTTGAATTTCACCTTCCTTTTATTTACAGGTGCCTGTGTCTCAACTTCAGGGGAAGACTGTGGGCCTCTATTTCTCATGTTTTTCATACAATGCATCTGCTAAATTTACCCCAAAGCTTGTGGAGGTTTATGAGAAGCTGAAAGCAAAGGGCGAGGACTTTGAGATAGTGTTGATATCCATTGGTGATGCTGAAGAATCATTCAAACAAGGACTAGAAAGTGTGCCCTGGTTGGCATTGCCGTACAAGGACAAGAGCTGTGAGAAGCTTGCTTGCTACTTCGAGCTTTCGACCTTGCCCACTTTGGTTATTATTGGGCCAGATGGGAAAACCCTTCATTCCAACGTGGCTGAGGCCATTGAAGATTATGGCATTGCTGCATACCCTTTTACTCCTGAGAAGTTTGCAGAGCTCTCTGAGATAGAGAAGGCCAAAGAGGCGGCCCAGACCCTCGAGTCTATTATGGTTTCTGGGGATATGGATTTTGTCTTAGGGAAAGATGGAGTCAAGGTATGATTCTTGAAACAATTGAACCTCATGCATGTGTCCTCTGCTTCTTAGATATTTTCAACGTTGTGTGCATCGTCATCTTCATCCTCATATCTTGAATGTCAAAAGGCATTTAAGATGCAGGAGGCGTGTATGTTTTGGTATTAACAATAGATTAACGTAGCTATGAGTTGATGTCTTTGGAATTTATTACATCCCAAAAAGGCCGGCCAATCACAATAGGCATATTTCAGCTAAGCCCAAACAATCCATAGAAAGAGGCCGGCCCAATAAAAAAGAAAAAACACAAACAGAAAGCTGGTATTAACAATAGTTAAAAATAACCGAGTTACTAATGGGGTTGGGTCTAGCGGAAGAGGTTAGCCTCTCACAATGTCGTGAACCAAGGTTCGAATCTGTATTGGGAGAGGTGCCTACATTTAGTGCCTGACAGTGTCTCTAATAGAATTGCTTCCAGTAGGAGAATACTTATACTTTAGCCGGGGGGAACCAAGTTGATATCTTTGTATTCTAGTCTTTTGGAATAAAATATTAATTTAATTTGTCTTCTTGTATGATACCTTTTGACTTGTCATACCAAAGATGAAACTCTTAACTAAAACAAAATTTCACCCTTGGTATCTTCATAACCGTTCTGCT